CCTAAGCTAGGAGGGAAATAGCGAATATATATCGATTATCGGGCCTTAAACAATGCAACTATTAAGGACCGCTTCCCTCTCCCTCGTATTAACGATTGCTTAAACGCTTTTTAAGGAGCTAGATACTTTAGYAAGATCGACTTAACTTTAGGCTTCTAGCAAATGCGAGTTAAGGAAGAAGATAGATAGAAGAYAGCCTTTAAYACTCGTTAAGGTAAATACRAGTACAAGGTAATRCCTTTTAGGCTATAYAACGCCCCTTTAAGCTTTTAGTCCTTAATAAACRATRTTCTAGCTAACTAGCTATATAAAAGCGTTATARTGTACTTAGACGATATTATCGTRTACTCTAAAAYACTTAAGGAACACGAAYAGCACTTAAAATAGGTGTTAGATGCCCTTCGGGCCTAGGAGCTCTTTATATCCCCTAAGAAGTGCTCTATTAGAGTCTAAGAGTTCGAGTTCTATAGGCATTACGTTTCCTATAACTAAGTAAGACCTATAGAGGACAAGATTGCCTCTATCCGAGATTAGCTAATCCTAAGGAACGCTTAAGAAGTAAGATAGTTTACTAGGCTAGTATCTTTCTACCGCAAGTATATTAGAAACTTCGTAAGGATAGCTGCACTATTAAGCGATCTCCTTAAGAAGAGTAACCTTACCCTACGTGCTAAGAAGAAACGCCTAATTAAGTAGAATGTATAATGCTCTATCTCCTTCGAAGCCCTTAAGAAGGTATTATACAGCTACCTAGTACTAGCACTCCCTAACCTAAGTAAGCCCTTTATTATTAAAACTAATATAAGTAAGTAGGCTATTAGGGCAGTGCTATACTAGCTTAGGGACGATAGGAAACTCTATCCGGTCGCTTTTAACGGTCGCAAGCTCTAAGTAGTAGAACTTAACTACCCTATCTATAAGAAGGAACTTCTCGCGATTAAGGACGTCTTACGCCGCTAGTACTACTATATTAAGAATAGTTATACTACCTAAGTAATTATAGATTACTATAGCTTGTAATACCTTAAAACCTCTAAGACGCCTACTAAGCGTCTTATACGATAGATCGAAGAATTCTAAGTATATAATATTAATATTAGGTACCGTAAGGGCAGCGAGGCGATTATGCCGGATATAATCTCTCGTCGCCCTAACTTAATAGGAGAAGGGCTAGCTAACTTAGCTAGTAAAGGATCTTCCTAGTAGGGAGATTAATCCCTTAAGGCAGCAGACTTCCTTACTACCCTGCCTTAAGCCTTCCGCCTTAATACTACTAGGGGAACTATTATCCGCAAGTTCTCTAAGCGTAAGGTAATTAATGCAATAATCCTCTTTAAGGAGATAGGCGAAATACCCGTCGACCCTAAGTTAAGTAAGCTAGTAGTAGATAAGTCGCCTAGCTTAGAACTTAAGGATAGGTTACTATACTATAAGAATAAACTAGGGACTAAGACACTATATATCGACCCTAAGTTTAGGTGGGATTTCTTAGAGCGTTACTATAAGGACTATAGCTACTTTAGCATTCTAGGAGTAAATAGCATCCTCCGTGTAAGAGGATAGTAGTAGTCTCTTAAGAGGGATATCGAGGACTATATAAGGAACTGCCCCTAGTATTAAGTTACTCGTAAAAAGCCTCGATTAGGGACGGCCGCCTAAGAACTACACTTCTACTAAAACGATCGCACCCTTAAGCTAT